TCATCTGGGTTCAAGAGCAATTACGGAGTTCATGCGGATTTGCTTACTTACTTACCTACATACTTTCGCCTGTTACCCACAATGGAGCATAGGCCACCCACCAGTTTTCTCCAACCAACTCTGTCCTTGGCTTCCCTCTCCAGTTCTGTCCAATGTTTGTTCATTCCTCTCATATCTTTCTCTATTTCTCGGCGTAGTGTGTTCTTTGGCCTTCCTCTTTTCCTTTTGCCTTGAGAGTTCCACGAGAGGGCTTGTCTCGTGACGCAGTTAGGTGCCTTTCGTAGTGTATGTCCTATCCACTTCCACCACTTCTTCCTGATTTCCTCCTCCACTGGAATCTGACTTGTTCTCTCCCATAGTTCGTTGTTGCTGATGGTGTCTGGCCAACGAATCCGAAGTATTTTGCGTAGACAACTGTTCATAAACACTTGTATCTTCTGGATGATGGCTTTGGTAGTTCTCCATGTTTCCGCTCCATACGGTAGAACTGTCTTCACATTTGTATTGAAAATGCTGATTTTGGTTTTGTTTGAAAGTTGTTTGGAGTTCCAGATATTTTTCAACTGTAGAAATGCGGCCCTTGCTTTGCCGATCCGTGCCCTCACATATGCATGGGATCCACCTTTCTCGTCGATGATGTTTTCCTGTCCACGCTATCAAATGCTTTCTCGTAGTCGATGAAGTTGATGTAGAGTGGTGAGTTCCATTCAATTGATTGTTTCACAATGATCCATAATGTAGCAATTCGGTCAGTACACGATCGATCCTTACGAAATCCGGCCTGTTGATCTCGAAGTTGGGCGTCTACGAAGTCCTTCATTCTGTTTAACAATACCCTGTTGAAGACTTTGCCTGGTATCGAAAGAAGAGTGATGCCTCTGTAGTTCTCACATTTGCTGAGATCACCTTTCTCTGGTATTTTGATCGGGTATCCTTCTTTCCAATCTGATGGTACTAGTTCCTCATCCCAAATCCTCTTGAAGAGGATGTGAAATATTTTCGCACTTGCTTCTACATCTGCTTTCATTGCCTCTGCTGGAATGTCGTCTGGTCCTGCTGCTTCGCCGCTCTTGATTTGTCTGATGGCCATAATGATCTCCTCAATCGTAGGTGCGCCAACATCAAGTGGGAGGTCCGTGGATGCTGCTTCGATGTTGGGTGGGTTCAGTGGAGCTGGTCGATTCAGGAGTTACTTAAAGTGCTCTACCCACCTATGTCGCTGTTGTTCAGTGTTGCTGATTATTTTCCGTTCCTTGCTTTTCACTGTTCGTTCTGGTTTACGATAGTTTCCGGCCAGCTTCTTTGTAGTTTCGTACAATTGTTTCAAGTTTCCGTCTCTTGCAGCCTTTTCCACCGTCATTGATAGATCTTCCACATATTTTCGTTTGTCAGCTCTGATGCTCTTCTTCACTTATCAACAGAGATCCATTCCTTGTGATGGTACTTCTTGTGACCCAGAACTTCGTGACATGTTGAAGTGATTGCCTCCTTAATCCCTTTCCAATTGTACTCCAATGTTGTGTCCTCTGCATTGAGTAGATCCTGAAAGGCCTGGAACCTATTGGTGAGAGCTATCTTGAATTCATTGAGCTTTACAGCATCCCGAAGAAAGGCCGTATTTAACTTGTGCGATGTTGTCTGCCCCGTTGTCCAGTGCTTCTTTAGTTTCAGTTTCATTTTGGCGATTAGCAAATGGTGATCTGAAGCTATATCAGCTCCTCTCCTGGTTCTCACATCCTCCATGGTCCTTCTAAACGTTTTGTTGATACAGATATGATCAATTTGGTTTTGAGTAGTGTGGTCCGGTGAACTCCATGTAGCTTTGTGTATGCGTTTGTGCGGGAATATTGTGCCACCGATGACCAGTTTGTTGAAGGCACATAGGTTTGCAAATCTCTCACCATTTTCGTTCCTTTCTCCCTGTCCATGTCGTCCGATGATGTCTTCATATCCAGTGTTGTCCATTCCAACCTTGGCATTCAGGTCTCCCATAAGAATAGTCAAATCCTTTGGTGAACATTTTTCGACGATTGACTGCAGCCTTTCGTAGAATTGATCTTTAACGTCGTCATTGTAGTCATTGGTAGGTGCATAACATTGGATGACGTTCATTGTAATGTCCTGTTTCTTTGTTTTGAAGGATGCTTTAATGATCCTCGGTCCATGAGATTCCCATCCTATCAGTGCCTTTTGTGCATGTTTGGACAGCATCAGTGCAACTCCTTGTGTATGTGGAGCGTTTTCCTCTTCATGACCAGAGTATAACAGCAGTTCCCCTGAAGCAAGTCTCAGTTGTCCTACCTGTGTCCAATGCGTTTCACTGATGCCGAGCACCTCGAGGTTGTATCTTTTCATTTCTGCCGCAACTTGAAATAGTCTTCCAGTCTCCCACAATGTACGAACCTCTCATGTACCTAAAAGAATGGTTGCTCTGGTTGTCAGAAGAGGCATCGACCCCGTGACTTCCGAGGGAACTCGGCTTTTATCACGTCATAATTCTTCTTGCAACTCACAGGGCAGAGTTAAAATGGTTTGAATTATTTTTTCTGGTTAGCGTTTTTTTGGCAAGTAAGTTTTTGACGGAATGGGGTAGCCAACCCCATGTCCAACCCTCCTCCTTTACCCGGGCTTGGGACCGGCAATAGCCCCGAAGGTTCTACTGGTGGAGTTTGCCGATTTTGCTAGCCTGTCATAAATAAAGAGGTGAGAGTTGACATGCATCTGTGCTTCCTGCCAGAAGAGAGTCTTATCTATTGGTGTGTGTAGGTCATACCATATGATGGCACGAGGCAGTGTTCACAACTACCCTGCTTAGTCATAGAGGATGAAAGTTCTCAGGTATTACCAATATCTGTTTCTAGACAGGATTTACGGTAGCTTAGTTGTCTGATCGTCTATTTCAGGCTCAGTAAACATACCAGAAGAACTAGTGAGTTATGAAGAGGTAAAGTATTATGATATATCATAAAACACAACCCTGCTGATATAAAATGACTTTATTGCACACAGTATTTTATCACATCTAAATGGGAATGAGTATAGTGCAGAACACAAGATTGATACCTTGAACCAAAAAGCTAGCCTAAGAGTCTGAATTAAGTTTCATTCACTTCACTATTTCGCAAACATTGTTCATCGGAATACTTGCAACCATCGGCAAGCGATGTGCACACAATTACACCTCGCGCTTAGTATGATGATGCCGCTACACATTCAACAAACATTCGCTTCGTATTGATTTATGGAGTAATGTCAAGTACGTTTAACTTGTAAAATAGATAGTTTAAGAAAAACGCAAAGATGGTTACCATGTAATTCAGAGTTGGCTCAATAACTATTAATTAACAACGTTACTAGTATTAATATATAAGTTAATGTTTGGAGCGATTACGAACTCAATGATATTCTTCTTATTTAACAAAAATTACTTGAACGAAGCATGGTGGTATTCGTGTAAAACATTCCTAATATCCTACTGTGTAAAGAAAACATGGTTACGGAGCGGTTGGTGGAAACATTACTTTCAGCCACTAAGTAGCAGAATCAAGCCACTCGACATAAAATGTAGGTTTGATCGCCAAGCCATCTTACTAGCCATCAAATAAGCTGTCTCCACAACTCGAGTATCAACACCTTATAAACGATTTATTGATTTTGAGGCAAATTGAGGAATTCTGATTCAATTTCAGGATTTTGAATTGAGGTTAAGCATTGAGTCTCCTCGGTGTAAGGTTCCCGAGTTCTAAAATCAAATGCAAGCTATTAATAAACGTGGCACGAATATCCATTTGCTCAAGTTTTCGCTCCACATTTTCATAACAAGATGACTAATAGTTGAATCAAATTGATTGTAATGATGTTTAGAAGAACTAAATAATGAGAATGTAGCCTAAGGAATGGAAAGGTCTATATTGTGAAGTCCTACAACTCAATATCTACAGTAAGATATGGAACCAGTTTATCTACGCCTTTGTGATCTATCCTAGAAAATTGCAGTGTCAAGAAGCGCATTGTGATTATCCCATGGACTCCGACTTAGCAGTTTGCATCTACCAACATATCTTAGACCACAATACAGTAATTCCACTACCTGACACAAATTTTCGGCCTGGCCACTCTTGACACTCTTCCAATATACTCCCACATTAGCTAACTACAAGTCGAGCTAGGCAGTGATTCGGTATGCATAACGTATTTCCAACACTCGGTCGATGATGAATCACAACATTATTGACCGACTCTTCATCTTTCCGTACTACTATGTCTAACCTCACTGTCTTCATTCGCTTGTTTAACTATTCACGAGTAGTGTGAAAGGAGTTTGTAATCAAAAACTGGCGAACTATCTTCGAAAACTGCTACACAACATGCTTGATCCTTCGTTATTGGATGAGTTTTTCGTCTACCCACTTCCAGTGGTCAATGTATGCGCTGGTGCTAACCAGTTTTGAAACAATATGCTGTATTTAAAAGGAAAGAGACATATCCTAAACACGGCATCATTAATACTCAGAGTCTAGAAGATTGTTTTACGCGAACGTCTTTGCCATTTAGGACTACCATCTGTATATTTGAAGTCGATAATTAAACTTCCTAGTGAGAGGTTTTTACATTATAGTTAATCAATAAAAAAATGACCATTTTGTAGCTACTAGAGTCCTTATGAAGTATTTATATTCAAAAGCTAACATTGATATGTGTTACTTATTTTTGCGTGAAGTTATGTGACCTGGTTTCTGAACTATCTGGTATTGTTTTTCTATTTGTGCGACGCTGTTATCAGTGTGAATAGTAGGTTTCTAGTCATTATCTTAGGAAATAGGCCTAGTGGTTTGTAATTCCCTTAACAATAATGACTACAAACGTTTATCGAGTCTTCTGTCTGATTAATTATTCTAAATACCTGTCGAAAATGAATTATTTAAAGCCCATCTCGTCTTGATGTGGTGCTAACTTGATTTCAAACTTCTCAATTACTCTACATTTCAGATGGCATTTAGATGACTTCTGATGTACGAAATTTCGCTTCCTCAAATAACACACAAAACCCTGTTGCGTGAGTCCTTCTGTGACCCAATTTTAATTTATGATTGTCTTTCTTGATAAAATAAGAAATGATGGGTTGTTGGAATGCTTAACTCAACTTCCTTAATCTTGTTGATCAGCCATTGATGTTTAATTCTGTGGGCATTATAGTTGAAAAGTAGATGACATATTTTTATTACAAGAATTTTGAGAACTCCGGGTAAATCAAGCGCTCAGTTCGTTTAAACATATTACAGTTCTCTGAAATTACTTTTATTAATAAAACACCTGACTAACTGAAACGAGTATTAGATCCTTTTCAATTGTCAAAGTGATAAACAGATGTTGTGCTCATAATGATATCCGATAAGTATGTGGGTTTGAGTCATTATATATTTACTACAAAGTTTACGCTATATCAGTCTTATCCTCTTCAAAATAACCCTTATTTAAGACATTAGATCTATTCCTTCTGTTCCCATTGTTTCAGACATCTCTGAAGATTGTCAGAAGTCAGGTTCTCCAACTGCCTCTGCATTTTTATTTATTTATTTAAACAGAAACTTTGGTACAAAAAGCATATAAATATTTTTGTCACACAAATCAGTGAATCTGTTTGCAGGCTGGGATACTCCCTGAACCCTCAAACTGAACCAGATAGTTTTCTTTGGCGACCATACTCTGAGCCTTTGACCTGAAAATCCAATACACAAGTCAGTCGAGCAACGTAAGAAGATCCATTTTCATGGTGGCCGGATTCAACTGCCGCTTTCCATAAGGTGCTCCCTAGATTTCATAAGTAGGTCATTCTTCTTCAACAATCCATGAGTGGTAGTCCAATATTTTTAATAGAGAAAGATTAACCCACAGTTTGTCTATATGGACCAATTCGAAGGCAAAATATATACTAAAGAAATATTAGATACTTATTTCTTCGTGGTTTAGACTGGGAACTTGAACTGATGTACGTACTTGCGAAGTTCTACATTGTTGCTGATTGACTGACTTTTCCTCTTCAAATCTCAGTTACTTAGTGAAAACAGCTTGTCAGCTAGTATTAATTTGCATTATGCAATTATCGATTTTCTTTGGTTTGTCATTTGTGCTAAATTTTTTTAACTGAGCACTTAAGAATCAGGGACAAATTCTAATACCATCATTAGTCAGTGGCTCTCGGTGAATTCATTTAAAATAGCAATTTAAATTAGATTCTTGAAATAGTCTTCATTATTTAGTGAATGGTGGTGCCATTCGACTCTAAGTGACACTAATATTTAGCGTAACTGTTTGACTGTTTCAATATAACTTTTGTATGTAACTTTATCAGGCAACTGAATATGGAGAATTTTATTCCTTAATAAGAAATAATATATAAGATCTCAAAATTTATTTGTTGTTAATATTTTACTAACGTTATTATTTCTTCTTTCACTTATTCTGACTAAACTTACTACAATTGTTACCGTTTGTAGCTAGACACTATATCTAACTTTGTTCTCTACCTTTGCGAAACGTTTGGTCTTTATATTAATTTCTGCAACATTTTATGTTGTTAAATTCTATACTCTCTAGAAATCATCGAATCAATATACCTCCAGAGTTAGAAGCAGTTTTAAGATTAGACACAAGTGGCGACTCATTTGTATCAAGTACAGAGGATCAATTGCATACTTATCATCAAACTTTGGAAAATTGGCTCCTGAATGCTGTGATCCATACATTTGCTAAATTTTCATTAGGTCACAAGGTAAATTTGTTTTCGTCTCTGTTTTAGCTGTTTCCATTGTGTTTGTACGTAGTGATATGTATTATTTTTTCCAAAGTGAAAACGTTTGTAATGTGTCCTTAGAATCATGAAGGTGTGGAAAGTTTTGACGATCATTTTAGTGAAGTTATTCAACACCTAATTTTTATTAGTTCCATATTAAACTGCCCTCCAGGTGTTGACTTCGGTTTTTTATCACTTCAATAAACAGTATATAATTTTCTGTTTTACACAAGCATGATTCGGTTAACATCACTTTCATTTTATTACTTCACTGAAAGGAGATGGAGTAGGAGCGAAATATCATAGTTAAAATAAGAGCAGAGTAGGCAAACGATCGGCGGTTTAGCTTGTACGGAAACAAAATTTATTTCTATCATAATGAATAATGATCCATGTTGCCGCTAATTTTTAACACCTCGTTGACTTCATCCATATAACTTTCAATTCTTAGCAAGAATATTAATGCAAAATAGTCACAACAATGTGCAACAGTTAATGCACAGGCGTTCCATTGTTTGTTGTATTAGTTATTTATTTAATTTCATTTTAAACACACAAACATTGATGCAAGGGGGTATTTATACGTCACGTAAACTATTGAGTCTGTGAGTGGGCTGTGATACTGTCTGGATACCCAAATCGAAGCAGGTTGTCTATCCGTAGTCGTTTTTCCCTTTCAGGTTTTGTTGGCATTCTCGAAAAACTTACTTAAAGTGTTACAGCTAAAATTCAGCATCACAGAAAATGCTAGAATTCATGTGTAGATTTAATTTATATAAAACTTACAGTTATTTGTTCGCTCTTCGGGTTGCTTCTAAACATTTGATGTCACTTTCTAAATTATCAGCTTATTATTATTTAGCTGTAACTTTACTTATAGGGATAGTTTTGGTTATAATTAAATCTTATTTCTCTTTTATGCGACCAGGATTAGTTCTCAGCTCTTTTTTCCTTGAATCAATTGATCTTTTGAATATTTTTTGCTCATTGGTTTAGATAGTCCCAATGACTCATATAAGTGGAGGCAATTTCGAGTTTAAGTCATAGTCTTTACACAAATCTTTAGGCAAATTTTCACCTAACCTTAAATATATTCATACTCGCTAAAACTATGACATACATCATTCCAAGACGTTATCATCAAGCCGCTTAAGCCGTATCACACTAAATCTGATACAAAAATGACCAGTGATATATTATCTTATCTTTTCTCATCCACTTTTCCTACACCCCCAAAAACAGAATAAGTTTAGTTATGTTTTAGAATCAGAGCTATTCTCGCTTCGGAAATAGTTAATTCGAATCTTGTTACATCATCAGCATAAACTACCGTGAATATCGTCCTTGTTTTGTTCATCTAATTCTGTTAGGAATTATCAGTACATCAACCCTAAACGTAATGATTCCATTAAGGTCTGAATAGTGAATATTCAAAACATCTTACGGAATAATTTTAGCAACAGTTATCTAGTTTATTTTTATCGTTACTTTTCAGCCAAACTATTGTGTCTTGGAGAATTATTGAAAAATTTCTTCATTATATGCATACTACTTGTCAGTAGCCTATACTAGTGTTATCTGCATTTGTCAGTTCAATGAATAAATAATTATTGAACTTATTATTATTATTATCACTCAATAATAGTAATAATAAACGTCTATATTGTGAAACGTTTATAAGTTGAAGGCAGTAAAAACTAATTTTAACTTCAAAAATCATCAGTTTATTAGTTATTCAATGATCATTAGTAGCCTTCGTCACTGAAAAGGTTTCTTCAACAAATACTTGATCAATGAAGGCCCGTCATCTCGACATAAAAAATAAGTTCACTGACACTAAATTATATATCATAAAGAAATTAAAGGTCTGGAGTATCGTTACCCGAACACTACAGTTATGATAGTAATGTGAACTGTGATTCATTAAATCTATATTTCTCCGTTTTGGGTTATTTCCTTTCATTGATAAGCATCTGGGGAGAACTTTTTTCTTGACTAGTCTTGCAGTGGTACCCTATTGTTGTCTGTGTGTGCGTACGCTACATAATTCTGTTTGATAGAAATGATGATAAATTCAAAAAGTGTTTTGAACACCCTGAGTTATAATTCAAAAGTAATTGGAATACATTTTCCGTCTACTTTTCAATGGAAAATAAGTACTTCCGTATCAACCTACTTCGAGTCGTAGTTTGAAAATCATTTGGATTGTCTTCAGTGTGTTGAAGGTTCTGGTTGGTTCACGAATAACACTAATATCGTTATGGTTCGTTTGTTCCACAAGAAAGTAATCTAAGTGAATAGTATCTATCCAAATTGAAGATGTTGGCATGATTGTCAGTGTTCATCTGACATCTACATACCATATGTTTATGGTTTATGACAACCTTTAACTAATTACACTATTGATTTCTAAACTAAATTTCCTAATCCATTACCCTTTTTCTTATGTTTATGTGTAGTGTAAATTTTAATTTCTTCTATAAATAATAAAACATTGATACGACAACCGTTTATCAGTCAGTCAGTTGCAACGTAGGACTTCGTACGTTTGTACATAAGTTCATGTTTCCATACCACATTAGCACAGAGACGCAAATGTCGAATCAAATCCCATAGTGATAAAGATAGTAGAGGTATTAATGGTAATGAAGAAGAATAGGGTTCGAAGATATTATTCAAGAAGTATGATTCAGTGAGAAAAGTTTAGAGAGTCGAAACTAGAGGTGTTGAAGAATCCAGAAGATTAGGGTTTGAGAGAACACAAAGAATAAATGCACCGGCGCCATTGCGAACGATTTTAAGCCATGTCATTCAAGGTCTCTAACCATCGATTATTATCATCTCGCGGACCCCAACCAGGTAGTCGACAATTACCGACATGGCTCAGTCCACTAGTCAATGACTTCATGGATTTGTGCCATGTTTTGGTCTGGCCGCCCCTAACTTTCTTCCAACCTACTCCTACACCACAAAACAAAGTTCGTCGAGGCAGTCGGTGGTTCGGCATACGCAAGACATGTCCCAACCACCTCAACTGATGAAGTTTCAATACTTCATCGATTGATCTGCCATCCCTACCTAGTACTCGTTTCCTAACGACAGCATTGCTTACTCGGTTGTCCCACGATATACGAGCAATGCTTCGAAGACACCTATGATCGAAAACCAGTAACCTACGAATATCTTCTACTCTCACTGGCCATGTTTCACAGCCATATAGGAGAACGGAGCGAACTGCTGCACAGTACACTCGTCCTTTGATTAGAAAACGGATATCTCGCCTACGCCATAAATGACGCAGGTTGGCATAAGTAAATCGAGCCTTTTGTATCCGAGCTGAGATTTCGTCAGTCAACACGCTCGACTACCGTTTATACAGGTGATTGATTAATCTGATTTGCTAAGAAACTGTTGACTTGAATTAAGACCGTAATATAGATGATGATGATGATTATTATTTGAAATCAGGCTACCCCATAAGTTACAGTATTAATTAGTCAGTTAGTCAACAACAACATAGAACTTCGTACGTACGTACATCATTTCAAGTTGCCACACTACATTAGCACTGAGATGCAGTTATCACTTCAAATCCCATAGAAGTAGACGTAGTAGAAGCATTAGCGACAATCGAGAAGATTAGGGTTTGAGAATATCATTCAAGAAGTAGAATCTAGCGAAATAAACTTAACAAGAAAAGGATAAAGGTGATGAAGAATTCAGGTTAGGATTTGGGAGAACACAAAGAATGAATGCACTAAGTTACAGTATGGCAGCATTTCATATTGAATGTTACGGTGATAATGTTGATAATGGCAGCTACACAGATTATGATTATGTTACTGTAAATTGAAGAAAGCATACTTAGTTGCCGTTGTGATTTACATACATTCGTACAAAACTGTTTAGTCCATAGTACAAATTAATGTATATACTTGTGAACAAAAAGATCTCTATTCAAAATTTGACATGTACCAATTGTTAACCAACGTATACAAATAATTCTGTTATGGATGAAATCGGGATAATGTTTGTTTTTCCCCCTTTTGTTGTTAATTAATCTCAATACTAAAAATAGCGTATAGTTAGTTATAAACTATTAACATTTGTTATAATAAACTGTCTAAATGTTATGCTTAATTAGAAATCTATACATCAACCTCTTTACAGGATTGGTTGGAATTGTTGCATCATTATGTTTTTACAATTCAGATACATTTGAAACATCATTTTTGTAATCGATAGTTTTGCATAATCATTATTGGACATGTTGCACTGATTTGTATCGCATAAAGTATTTAGATATAGTATTCACCAGAATACTGTAAACTCTCTGGGAAGGAAATCAATGTTAACATGTCTGTGGAGTTTTTTTGTTAGTATATATGATATCGCTCCAACTCGTCTAGCCTTCAGTGTGTTTGGAAAAGAACTGAAAGTTGTTCTGTAAGTTCATCATCTGACTTTATGAATGAGTTATAAAGGTCCATTATCTAAGAATTTTAACCCCTATCGAGCCGTAGTTGCCTAGTGTAACATTTAATTAATAAAACTAAAAAATGATAAAATCAAGTCATTTCTTTGGTGTGATGAGTAAAATCACAATCAAAACTAATTGATCTAACTCGATCTCAGTGATGACAGTATACATGCTTTCTATTTTGATTTTGCTCTAACATCGTATTATCCTATGGTTCTCATCGTTAGATTTCATTTTGTTTCGTCATAGCTATTTTCCATATTTTCTCCTTACTTGGTGTGAAGTTGTTAAATTTACTTTTTCACTGTTTATCTTATCGATTTCCTAAATTGTAACAAATTAAACCGATCAACATCAGTATCCTGTCTTCTATTGCTTATGTTCGCCTTTCCTAAAACACCATTTACAGGATAATTTCATTAGTTTAATAGACACTGAATGTATTAATACTCGAAAACGACTGATAATATTATAATTTGTCCCTCTATTATTCATCTGATTCTTAATTTTTCTAAAGCTGTTAGTAGTTTGAGTACGCTGCTTTCCAATTCTTTACAGAGTAGTAGGTGAATAACGTAGAAAATACACAGAGTCAGTAGTTGTCTTGTTGATGCGGGAGCGTGACTTCCGAGTCCAAAACACTTACTCAAGGTCGATCACATGAGACTTTTGCTTGAGTAGTTTTAAATGTTCTAATTTCCTACTTTTTAGATTTCATCGCTTGCATTCTCAGTTTGTATGACAAGATAAGGTTTACTACTTCTAAGTTTGACTTTTTCTGATTGCTCCCGTTACGCAAAGGCTGAATCATTATAGATACTCATTATCCTCAGTAAACTCACCGCCGTCACATCCCAATACAGTCGCCAGTACGACTTCAACTTTAAAACTTAAAATAAAGAACACTGGAAAGATTTTTACATAAATATGATGGTTTCTACTTCTCTATTGAATTCTCACCCTAGTAGCATTGATTCATTACTCATATAGTTTAGTTTTTCTAATGTTTCCCTTAGCCTATTACATTATAATCACTGTTCTACTGAAAGCATTACAAAACTAAAGAAAAAAATCGTTTTTCGATTTTAAAAATGATTTAGTTAACTAGTTTAAATTTCGTTAGTACAATTGCATTGTTTATATTAATAAATTGATTATTCAACGTTTCTTTCGTGCATAATTATTTTCTCATAGACGAAATCTCAGCACGGATACAGAAGGCTCGATTGGCTTTTGCCAACCTGCGTCACTTATGGCGTAGGCGAGATATCCGTTTGCTGACTAAAGGACGAGTGTACTGTGCAGTGGTTCGCTCTGTCTTACTTTATGGCTGTGAAACATGGCCAATGAGAGTAGAAGATACTCGACGGTTA